TCTGAACACCCGTCGAGGGTAGTGTACCTGGGCAACTTTATCTTCTGGTTCAATGCAGTGTGTCTCAACACGCCGATATAATGTCCTTACGCAACTGCGTTTGTGACTGATTGGGTGGTTGCTGTTGTAATTTAGTATCTGCATCCGTCTCCGTTTTGTGCTGGGTTCTGCAGCGAGATTAGCCCGTCACACGCACATCGCAGTTCCCGCGGTAGTAAATTGTGGTTTTGGGGGTACGTTATCAGTTTCGCTGAATTAATCATATGCAGCAACTTATCGCAAGGTGTTGGTTGCGCCAACCGCAGGGGCCGCGCACACCTATTGGCAGGGCTAAAAAAAGGTAGACTTGAGTAGGAAACAGTAGCAGAAACGGGTTTCTGCTAATGTTTCCTAGTCATGTCTCTGATGATGAATCCGTGACGGATGTCGAAACGTCAGGCGAATAAACGTATTGTTCCGGCGATCGAGTCTTTTTTTTCTCAAAGGCAGACTTGTAAGTATTTGCTTCGTAGATGCTTAAAATAATACAATCAGTAACCCATAAGTTGGCGTCGATCATAGTGGTCGACCCATATGAATGAACTAAAATCATGCTTCGCAAAATAAACGGCACCTACAAAAATCTATGTTGGTCTTACAACGTTGCCACCTTTTTTGCCTGTCAACCAGCATGCACGGCGTGGATCTAATGGGAGTGGTTATCGGGGTATATGTGCCGGTCCTCTGCGCGTTGCTGTCGCGTGGAATTGGGCTGTCCATTTGGCTGCTTACCGAGGCCGACTCCTTTGGGCTGCAATTGCAAAAGCTGATGTATAAGTTCTACATAGTTCTCCGGTTCTGCAGCGAATTTTTAAAAGAAAAAGAGCGACTAAGCTTTCCGTTTCACAGACATCCGTTTGTGTCTCTCGGCTTACCATATTCGACCTTATTGGGCTATTGGTAGAAGTTTGTTTGGGCTTCGTCTTCCTCTGTCGCTTTCTGCTTGGCTCCCTCACCCGGCTGTTCATATTTTTCTGCCTCTGGCATTCTCAATTCAATTTCTTGATTAGCTTACCCAATGAGCATTGTACCCATCCCTGTCTTCAGTTTATTGGCTACAAGTTAGACGTTTTCAGACGCTTTAATCAACCTTTGCACCCATTAGTAGTTCATTAAAACCAATCTAGGCGGTGTTTAGATACTTTTAATTGCAGAATTATTGCGCAGTCATAAGCACCATGACGTGCCCCACCTATTCCATCCCCTATAATCACCTTCCCTTAATACATTTGGGCGCGGTTCTCGCGCGCTGTAGGGAACCCATGATAGTTCTTTACCATGGATTGATACAAGCTTCAGTTAAACATATACCATTGGGCGTCAACTCTAAATCAACGGCTTTAATTTGAATCATCTTATTTATAATAGCCTGGCATTAAGTAATATGACCTCTAATGCTGTTCGAGGAGCCGGACTAGGGTTGCCGTTAGTTAGAAAAAAAATAGTCGGATATGGTAATTAAGCTGGAAGTTGTGGTCGTTTGGAGAGTATCGACCAATAAGACCAGACAATTTGGCAAAAGGAATGCCAGTAACAAATGTCTGAGAGGAATATCGAAACGATGTAGGTCTACAGAATTCCGATATCGTCATTTCAAACTTAATGCTGTGATAAAAATACATACAATGTGGATTTGTGTTGCTCTGTGTGAGCAACCACATAGGCAGCGGGAGTCAGTCAGTATATTTGAGGGAAAAATAGGCTTTGCCTTGAACTCCCCATTTGTCACATCAAAATCTCAAGAATTATAAACAATGTTAAGAAGTTTTCAGTGAGGAAATATAA